TCGCTATAGAGCACCCCACTACAGGCTAGAGCATAATATTCTGACAACGTTTTAGATTCGCGCCATCATTTTCTCCTTTTTTCACCCGCTCCGAAGTCGCCACGTCGTCGCCTTTTCCTGCTTTTCGGATCTTTACACGATCGCCAGGTCGATCTGCGGCTACTGGCGATTCCCGTTTTTTTACTTCGCGGGTGCTCCACTGTTTCCGTCCCGGAGTGCCGCACTTGTTTTCTTCATTTTGTAGCACGACAAAAACTGATGTCCCGCTGCGCTGCAAAATTCTCATTTTGTCGGCTGCTGCTTCGCGTCGTATTTGTCGATATCCATCGGTTCGGCAAACGTGGGGGGTGCCGATCGCTCCGTGCCAAATGTAGGGTTCGGCGTGAAGCGTCGTGTTTCGGGCTGACCTCGAGTCAGCGCGTCGTATCGCTCGGCAGCACGCACGATGTCTCTGTAGCTGTTGTAATTCGCTGCAATCACCTGCCGCCGAATCTCCATTTTTAACGTGTCGGTGTACGCCTGGATTTTTTCGCCTTCGGTCAGGTCGGTGATGCGGCTGAACAGTAACTCCATCTGCTGCGTATACTGTGTTACACTACTGTATCGCTTGTGTCGGTGTATCTGCTGCCGCGCCATGTAGGTTGTATTAATTGGTTCGAAACGCTCGATTGAATCTGCCCGAAACTGCTGCCACGTTTTCTCCCCGCGGGCTACGTCGGTGTAGTAAATCTATTCGAGAGCCGGTCCACGTAACAGTGTCGCTGCGAGCCGAATCCTTGCTGCGCCGTGTTGCGGGGTCGAACAGCCAATGGCCTCAAAGTAAATTTCGAGGGTGGCCACGAATCGCCGGACGTCGGATCCCTTCGCGCTTGGATCGAACGCCTCCGGGAGCCTCGGTCGTGCTGCTTCGAGGTTCGGCGACAGTGGTGCCATTGGTCCGTGAAATGTCGGTGTCGCCACTGCTGCTGGAGTTGTCGGTGCTGCAGTCGCTGCGGTCGCTGCTGCTGCGGTGGCGAACCCTGGTTGGCCTGTCAAAAAAGCCTCGAGTCGACGAAGCGTCGCCTGCGTCTGCTCCATGTCGCTGCGGAGGCTCGCGATGTCGCTCGTAGTCCCGTAGTTGTCACCTTGGCTCTCCATGCCAGACATCAACGCGTCCGAAAAACCGGATCGAGGGGGAGCGAAAAACACGGAACCGGTTTTACGTACCCGAAATCGATGTTTGACTGCGTCGCCCCCGCGGTTTTTGAAGAATGGTTTTTTGCGGTCGAAAGAACTTCGCGTGTAAACGGGCTCTGATTACCAAGTGTGAGGATCTAGGATCGAGCTCAAAAAAGAGAATGAGAATTGAGTCGAATTGAATGATCACCTGGGTACAACACGAGGCTATATATAGGCTCGACACAAGGCCCTGTAATCAGGTGTTACGCGAAGGTTCCGCGGGCCGCGTAGCGTCCCGAACAGATCCTTACCGAATTTGCTAGAAGGCCATTCGGTGGCAACCGGAAAGGCCAGAATTCGGTGCACGCAACCTAGCTCGGTGCTATAACTATAATAAAATATAGGAAAGCACCTAGCCTAGGAAATCAAGCAATTCATGCATGCATATGATTTTCCTATGCTAGAAATAGCATGATAAAGTCAAGGCAAGCAAGCATAGCTGGCATAAGCCGTCGTACTCTCACACCTTCCCTACTGCTCGGTGGATATCCCCATGGACGATGACAACCCTCGCGGAATCGTCAACGCCTACTATTGTCAGAAACTAACGAGCAGGAATGTTGAACAGCAGAAGAGGGATTGCACTAGCAGGCAGATGGGATAGAAATAGGAAACCCTAACAAGGCTGTACTCACTACTGAGTACCCCACTGCAGACTAGACAATATAGCATTCTGACACACCCCCATAAGCAAAGTCGGGTATAATCAGCACAACAAGCAGTCATAGAGCAAGTTCACAAATTAGCCCTAGTGGCACACATAGCAGAGGGGCAGTGAGGAGGAGGAGGGACTGTGAGAGGAGAGGAGTTGTGAGGCGGCAGGTGAAGCTGCTGACACACGGGCAACGGAGCAACTGGCACACTGGCTACCGGAGCAAGGGCCCCGGACTACTGGAGCAACAGGCTCCGTGGCTAGACGAGCGACTGGAGCAACGGACCCACAGGCGACTAGAGCAACGGACTCACGTGCTACCGGATCAAGGGCCCCGGACTACCGGAGCAGCAGGCGACACAGAAGCTACCTCTTTCCAACCTCCCCCCATTGCCCCCACCCCTTTTCTCACATCCCCCCCGGCTAGCGCCACTCCCCAACCTCACCCACTCCATCCCCCCCTTAGCAGCAGCTGCAGCTGCAGCAGTGGGAGAGAAAGGAGGAGGAGGGGCAACTGTTAGAAATTATAAATTTTCTGTAACTGCCTGCTAGTGTAGTTATTGTGTAGTGATACTGTTATTGCTGGTGGTGCACCATCTTGCCCACCCTTGCTCTCATTTGTACCCTTCTTTCTATTCAATCATCCTCTTTTGCCTATCTTCTAGCCATGGCCTCCTAGGGTTTTTAACCTTCGCCTAGGCTATTCTGAGAGCAGCTGGTCACGCACTATACCACCCCCATACCTCCCCTTACCCACGCCACCCCCATACCCTCCACACGGCTGCACGCACAGCAGGAAGTCGAAGGAGGAGGGGGGAGGGCGGGTGGCGTCGCGACGTGCAGGGCGCGGGGGGGCAGTGGGGCGCTCGCAACGGGCAGGGCGCCGGCGGCAGGCGGGTCCAGGAGGGGCGGCGCGTGGGTCCAGCAAGGCAGCGCGCGAGTCCAGCAGAGGCGGCGCGCGGGTCCCCCAGGGCGTCGCGCGGGTCCAGCGGGGCAGCGCGCGAGCCCCGCAGGGCGTCGTGCGGGTCCAGCAGGGGCGGCGCGCGGGTCCCGCAGGGCGTCAAGCGGGTCCAGCGGGGCAGCGCGCGGGTCCCGTGGGGGCGGCGCGCGGGTCCCACGAGGCGGGGCGCGAGTCAGGTGGGGCGACGCGCCGAGCAGAATCACGTGGTGGAAAGAAAAAACGCATCATGCCCCGAGCGCGCGGCAGGCAGAAAACGTCGCGCGCCCGGGGCGCGCAATAGGCAGGACAGCAGCGGAAGCATTGGGTGGGCCCATAGGCCAGGATCGAACAAGCTCTGAAACCATGTCAGAAACTAACGAGCAGGAATGTTGAACAGCAGAAGAGGGATTGCACTAGCAGGCAGAGGGGATACAAATAGGAAACCCTAACACGGCTGTACTCACTACTGAGTACCCCACTGCAGACTAGACAATATAACATTCTGACAACTATGACTTCACCGACAACGGTTACGTTACACCCCAACACGTCGACACCAACATTTCCGAACGCAAAGGGCCCAATTTCTTACCTGATCCAGAAGCGGGAGATGAAGCAGCTTACCCCGAGGACGCAAATCTCCCCTGCTACACACAGAGTGGACTGCAAATACTGGGACTCGTCACCGCCGTCCACGGAGCAGCGCCACCGAAGGAGCCTACCACAGTTCAGCAGGCTCTAGGGGGGAGCAGAAGGAAAAATGGCGCGAAGCCATGGACAAGGAGCTGAAGGGGCTAGAAGACAGAAACACATGGAAAATAGTGCCTATCGGAGTGGCACCCAACAAAACCGTTCTCACGGGAAAATGGTTCGTCCGCATGAAGACAAAAGCCGACGGAACGATCGATAAGTTTGCGGTGCGCTGGGTCGTACGCGGCTTCGATCAAGAGCATGGACGAGACTTCACCGAAACCCTCGCACCAGTTATCCGACACACCTCTCTCCAAATTCTCCTCGCGATAGCCGCCATGAAGCGAAAGAAGCTCCGCCAAATCCACGTCGCCAACGCTTTCCTCTACGCTCCCGTCGATTCCGAGATCTTCGTCGAGCAACCACACGGCTCTAGCGCAGATCCCAACCAAGTCTATCAACTGCTAAAGTCCCTATACGGCACCAAGCAAGCTCCGAGGCTGTGGCAGCAATACCTACACGCTCGACTAATCCACATCGGATTCCACCAACTACCGCACGACCAAGGGATGTACCGACTCACAAAAGGTGCCGACTACATCCTGCTCATCGTCTGCGTGGATGATTTACTCTACATCGGTTCATCCGGCGGCATTACAACCTGGTTTGAAGGGGAGCTGCAACGGAACCTCACACTCACTGTCTCCTCATCCGTCATACTGTACTTGGGACTCAACATACAGTACCGTCATACAACATACTCTTTGAACTAACCCTAGCCGCCATCACCACACCATACCGCAACACCGATGGAAATCGCAAGGAGACCTCCACTCTGCTCAAACCCGCCGGCATTCGCGACTACCAACGAAAGCTAGGATGTCTGCTCTTCGCAGCCGTCACTTGCCGACCGGACCTGTACTCGGCGAGCCAAATCGCCACCTCCCTCAGGAAGCATGAAGCAGATCACATGGCCGAGCTCGACCACGCTCTTCACTACCTTATCAGCACCCCAACGATTGGCCTAACTTACCACAAGAGCAGAACCTCTACACCTAAGCTAATTGGCTACGTGGATGCTGACCACGCCGGCAACTCCGACAACGGACGATCGCGCACCGGCTACATCTACCGGCTCGAGCCTGTCGGACCTATCTGTCAGAATGATATATTGTCTAGTCTGCAGCGGGGTACTCAGTAGTGAGTACAGCCCTATTAGGGTTTCCTATTTGTATCCCATCTGCCGGCTAGTGCAATCCCTCTTCTGCTGTCCAACATTCCTGCTCGTTAGTTTCTGACAATAGTAGACTTCTGTGAGAGTACGACGGCTTATGCCAGTTATGCTTGCTTGCCTTTACTTTATCATGCTATTTCTAGCATAAGATAATTATATGCATGCATGAATTGCTTGATTTCCTAGGCTAGGTGCTTTCCTATATTTTATTTTAGTTATAGAACCGAGCTAGGTTGCGTGCACCGAATTCTGGCTTTTCGGTTGCCATGTATAGATTGCCTACTAGTGATGAGGGTGACTGTTACCTGTGTGTTCCGCCTGACCCGGGCATTGAGACTGCTTCTCTAGGTGCTGGTGAGGCTGCTGCTCTAGGTGCTAGTGCGTCTGCTGCTCCAGGTGCTGGTGAGTCGGCTGCCCCAGGTACTGGTGCGTCTGCTCTCTCAGGTACCACGTCGGCTCAGGCCTTACACACCTTCACCCTTGACTCGGGTGCTTCCCGCTCCTTCTTTCAAGACCGCACCACGCTTACGCCGCTTAGTCAGCCAGTTGCGGTCTCCCTGGCGAACCCCTCTGGGGGTCGTGTCCGGCGGCCCCCTCTGGCACCCTGTCAGGTCTCTACCTCCCCTCGTTCTCTACGAACTTGGTGAGTGGTGCTGATCTACAGGATGGGGGGGTTGACCAGTTCACTCCTGCGAGTCAGCGGGTGACCCACTGCACGTGTGCTCGGACGGGCCGACACTTGGCCACGTTTACCCGTCAGCCGGGGTCGAGCCTGTACACACTGACTACTGAGTCTCCTCCGGTTGCTGAGTCTGGTCAGGTAGCTGCGTCGAGTCAGGTGTTTGCTGCAGCGTCCAAGTCTGGTCCTGAGTCTGCTCCATGCTCGTGTCGTCTCCTGTCCCACCAGACTCTCCTATAGCACCACCGCCTTGGTCACCTCTCCCTGCCTCGTCTCCGAGGCATGGCCTCCCGTGTCCTTGTCTCTGGTCTCCCCCGGTCCCTCCCTCCCCTCCCTCCGGGGCCTGCCTCTACCTGCATTTCTTGCATCGAGGGGCGGCAGCGCGCCGCCCCTCACTCCTCCGAGTTTCCTCCGACAGAGGCTCCGCTGCAGACTCTTCACATGGACGTGTGGGGCCCCGCCCGCATCCGTGGCCAGGGTCACGAGCGTGACTTCCTGTTGGTGGTTGACGACTACTCGCGTTACACCACGGTGTTCCCCTTGCGCAGCAAGGGTGACGTCACTGAGGCGTTGATCGACTGGATCCGCGCAGCTCGTCTCCAGCTCAGAGAGAGTTTCGACTCGGACTTTCCTGTTCTGCGTCTGCACTCTAACAGAGGCGGGGAGTTTTCCTCTGCCCTCCTAGGAGCCTTTTGTCGTGCACAGGGCATCTGCCAGACCTTCACGCTTCCGGCCTCTCCACAGCAAAATGGGATTGCTGAGCGCCGCATTGGCATGGTCATGGACGTCGCTCGTACGTCCATGATCCATGCGGTTGCTCCCCATTTTCTGTGGCCGTTTGCGGTTCAGTACGCAGCGCATCAGATCAACCTTCAGCCCCGGGTCTCCTTGCCAGAGACCTCCCCCACCTTGTGGTGGATGAGGAAGGTTGGCGATGCGTCCGCGTTTCGTGTCTGGGGATCTCGGGCGTTTGTCCGCGACTTGTCTGCGGACAAGCTTTCCCCCCGTGCTGTTCCCTGCGTCTTCCTTAGCTTCCCCCCTGACGCGCCTGGTTGGAAGTTTTACCACCCCACCTCGCGCCGTGTTCTGTCCTCCCAGGACGTCACCTTTGACAAGTCGGTGCCTTACTACCGTCTCTTCCCTTACCGCACTGCGCCCCCCCCCCCCCCCCCCCCCCCCCCCCCGCCGCCGCTCTTCCTTGCGCCAGGTCCCCCCCCGGTAGACCCTCTCCCCCCTCAGGGTCTTGCCCCGTCACGTGTGTCCAAGGTAGACGCAGTCGAGCCTGTCGAGGTAGTTGTTGACTCTGGTGCGGCTAGGGGTGCTGAGCCTGGGGGTGCTGAGTCTGGGGGTGACGAGCCTGGGGGTGCGGAGCCTGGGGGTGCGGAGCCTGGGGGTGCTGACCCTGGGGGTGCGGAGCCTGGGGGTACGGAGCCTGGGGGTGCTGAGCCTGGGGGTGCGGAGCCTGGGGGTGCTGGGTCTGCTTGTGTGGCCTCTAGCGGTGCTGGGTTTGGGGGCCCTTGCTTCGTTGAGGCGGGAGCTACCCTCTCCACAGGAGCTGCGCGAGTGGTTTGCGTGGCGCTCGAGCCGTGCTGCTGGAGCTGGAGGTGCTATTGTTGCTGCTGACCCTGGGGCCGGCACTGGAGTTACTTGAGCCACGGTCCTGGAGGTGCTCGTACTGGCGGTACGGGAGCTGCAGGGACTGGGGGTGCTGCTGGGGCTGCTGGAGTTGGTGCTACCGGAGCTGCTGGAGCTAGAGCTGGAGCTGCTTGGGGTGTTGGTGCTGGAGGTGCTGCTGGCGCTGGTGCTTCTGGGGGTGCTGGAGTTGGCGCTGTTGGAGCTGGAGGTTCTGCTGGCGCTGGTGCTGCCGCTGGGGGTACTGATGCTGTCCCTGCTGGTTCTGGAGGCGCTGCACGGCCGCGGCCGTACTTCGTTCCGCTCCTTGAGCAGGTTCTTGGTCTCCCGCCCTCTACTGGTCCTGCTCCTTCCTTAGAGTGTCCACAGCCTGTCCAGTCGCGGTCACAGTTATAGCCCGCCTCTCCTATGCCTGCTCCTTCTCCCTACACCGGTCCTACTGGAGGTCTTGCTGAGCGTCGTGAGCCTGCGTCTCGTCCTGCGTCGCCGGTTCGTGCTGCTCGCACTAGTAGTCGTGTTCCGCGTGCGCGTCCTCCTGCGGTCCCAGGCACACACCAGATGGCACTGCGTCCTTCCACTGCTCCTCTGCGTGTCCCGTTGCCGTCTCCTCCAGAGTCCTCTCTTCCTGTTCTTGCTGACCACGGCCCTGTCGCCACCTGCGGCCCCGTCGCCCGCTGCGGCCCCGTCGCCATCTGCGGCCCCGCCACCTTCGGCCCCGTCGCCACCTGCGGCCCCGTCGCCCGCTACGGCCCTGTCGCCTACCTGCGACCCTACGGCCCCGTCGCCTACCTGCGGCCCTACGGCCCTGTCGCCTACCTGCGGCCCCGGCCCCGTCGCCTTCCTGCAGCCCCGGCCCCATCGCCTACCTGCGGCCCTACGGCCCCGTCGCCTACCTGCGGCCCTACGGCCCCATCGCCTACCTGCGGCCCCGGCCCCGTCGCCTTCCTGCGGCCCCCGCCCCGTCGCCTACCTGCGGCCCCGGCCCTGTTGCCTACCTACGGCCCCGTCCCCTACCTGCGGCCCCGTCGCCTCACTACGGCCCCGGCCCAGTCGCCCACTTGCGGCTCCGCCCTCGTCACCTAACTGCGGCCCCGGCCCCGTCGCCTCCTTGCGGCCCCGGCCCCGTCGTCACCTGCGGCCCCGCCACCTGCGGCCCCGTCGCCACCTACGGCCCCGTCGCCCACTTCGGCCCCGATGCCACCTGCGGCCCCGCCCACTTGCGGCCCCGACCCCGCCCCGGCCATGCCCCGTCGCCAGCCGCGGCACACTGGGGGCACGTGCACCGCCCCCCCCCCCCCCCCTTTTCCCGGCACCTGTCGAGGTGACCTGAGGGGGCCGGAAGGGGGGGGCAGGCGTCGCCCCCTCTGCCGCCTGCTTTGGCGCCCGGGGAGGCCGTGCGTCGCCCCCCCCCCCCCCCCCCCCCTCTCCTCCTCCTTTTGTTCCCGCTGCTGCAGCTGCCGCTGGGGGGGAGGGTGTGAGGGTGTGGGGGAGCCGGGGGAGTGGCAGTGGGGTGGCGGGTGTGAGACCAACCAGCACCCGTCCCTCCACCTCTCCTCTCTTCCCCCCCTCTGCTGCTCCTGCAGTAGTGTGTGGGGGAGGGGGAGGGGGAGGGGGAGGGTGAGGGGATGGAGGGGGTGACCAACCAGAGCCTACCACCTCCTCTCCTCTCTCTCCCTCTCTCTCTCCTCCTCCTTACCTGCCCTCTCCCGTTCTGCTGCGCACTCTGCCTGGTGTACCCCTTCAGGGGGCGATAACTACACTTCTTCCCACAAGCAATTATGGGGGCGTGTCAAAGTTATTTTATGTAACTGCTTGTGGTTTAGGTGTAGTGTATTTATCTTGTCTTCTGTTTGGTGGTGCACCTCTAGTTTCTTGACTATATGTTGTATCTCTTTGCTATTATTGAACCTCATTCTCTCTTTTCAACTTTCTCGACACTCTCCTCAACTCCAAAACTCGAACTTCTCCTAAGCTACTATGGCTCCCATGCCTAACTAGCACTTGGATTTTAACATGTTGTTGTTGTTGTAGCGCCGTTGAGTGTGAAATGCAAATTCAGGTACTGACATTTTCTTCTTGTGTCGCTCTTCTTGCAGGTCTATGGCTTGCTGCTCGGCGTGAATTTTGGCGCATAGTGCTACTTCGGAGATCTTTCCGTGAGCTCGGAGTATGGCGTGAGTGGAGCGCCAATGAGGACCAAGACCGCCAATGACGACTGTGACGAAGGCGTCTTCTGATATCGACCCTCCGCATCGAAGGAGTTTGTCGCGCAATTCACGACAGCGGCTGATATACGCCATCCCTTTTTCGTCTGGTTTCATTCCCATTGTTGTCAGCTGTGCCATTAACCGACTCTTATTAACGCTGTCTGTAGCCTGATACATGTTCTTCATGTGGTTGTACGCGAGCTCGGCGGAGTTCCCGTATCCTCGGTAAGACCGAATATTCTGCTGCTTGTTCGGTGTGACGTTGCGTAGTAGGATTGTATTCGCCATCATGGACTGATATGTATACTGCTGCTTGTCGTATTGCGTCACGTGTGTATTGGCAGGTGTTGGGCTGAGATAGCCCCTTAGGATCTTTGCAAGGGATAACTCTAGGTGAAGTAGTTGTAACAGCGGAAGCGTTTAGTGAAGAATTTGAACCGACCTTGCACTGGTGTGTGAGAGCAAAGTTGATTGAATTAAACAAGCAAATACAAGGATTTATATAAGAGTACAGGGAATAGATAACTGTATTGCTGTTGCGGTTCGATATAGCGCGACTCGGGCAACTGCTCTGTAACGAGTCAGTTGTGTGTCCTTAACTGTCGCGCTGTAATTGTCGAGTCAAAGGTCAGCGACCTTTGACTTTCTCGTAACCTCCAGGCGGTTACCCTAACCTCCGAGGTTGACTCGATGCTTCGATTGGGACTGCTTCGCTTGGTACCTTGGATTTTGATACGACAGAAGCGCACTTAGGACTTATTGTTTCCAACACTCCCCTTCGCTTCTGGAGTGTTACTGCTGGTGACGTGGCCTTGTCCAGTCAGCATCATGCAGTATTCGAACTTCTGCTTGCCGAGTTTCTTGGTCAAGTAATCGGCTGCCATCTCGGATGTTGGACAGTATGACAGATCGAGTTTCCCTTTTTCTATCTCGTCCTTCACGAAGAAATAGCGCAGGGCGATGTGTTTCGTCCTGTTTGCGAAGCCGTTTTTGTTGGCGATGCGAATTGCTGACTGGTTGTCGCAGAACACGGTGAAGCTGGGTAACTCGGCTAGCTTCGCTTCTTCCAGTAGTTCGCGAAGGTAAAGTCCCTCCTTGGTGGCTGAGCAGAGTGCAATATATTCTGCTTCTGCTGAAGATAGTGCGATTAACTCCTGCTTGCTCGACTGCCAGGAGATAGGACCGATAGGCTCAAGGCGGTAGACATAGCCGGTGCGTGAGCGCCTGTTGTCGGTGTCGCCGGCGTGATCGGCGTCGACGTAGCCGATTAGCTTAGTCGGTGTAGCTGCGCTCTTGTGGTAGGTTAGCCCGATCGTCGCGGTGCTGACGAAGTAGTGGAGAGCGCGATCAAGTTCCGCCAGGTGTTCAGCTTCAGGCTTCTTGAGATAGGTGGCGAGCTGACTTGCGGAGTAGGATAAGTCAGGACGGCAGGTGACGGCGGCGAATAGCAGGCATCCGAGCTTCTTCTGATAGTCGCGTATGCCGGCGGGCTTGAGTAGAGTAGTTCGTTCCTTCTCGGTTCCTGATGTGTAGCGGTAGGGCGTGGAGATGGCGCTTGGTGTGAGGCTGAAACGTTTCGCGATGGTGTCGGCGTATTTCTCGGCGCTTAGATAGATGGCGTTTTCTTCTTCGCGGATGTTGAGCCCGAGGTACTGTGTAACGGTGGAGGAGACCGTGAGCGTGAGGTCTTTCTGGAGCTCTCCTTCGAACCACGTGGCGATGCCGTCGGTTGACCCAATGTAGAGGAGATCGTCCACGTAGACGATCAGGAGAACGTAGTCGCTTCCCTTAGTGAGGCGGTACATGCCTTGGTCGTGAGGTAGTTGACTAAAGCCGATGCGGATGAGACGGGCGTGCAGGTACTGCTGCCACAGTCGCGGTGCCTGCTTGATCCCGTAGAGCGACTTAAGTAGTTGACAGATTCGGTTGGGTTCGCCGTGGGAACCGTGCGGGAGCTCGACGTAGATTTCTGCATCCACAGGTGCGTAGAGGAAGGCATTCGCGACGTCGATCTGCCGTAACTTCTTCTTCTTCATGGCGGCAATGGCGAGGAGAATTCGGAGTGACGTGTGGCGGCTGACTGGAGCAAAGGTCTCGGTGAAGTCTCGTCCTTGCTCTTGGTCGAATCCACGTACGACCCAGCGTGCTTTGAATTTTTCGATCGTGCCGTCTGCTTTCGTCTTGATGCGGAAGACCCATTTCCCGGTAAGGATGGTTTTGTTCCGTGCCACGCTTACGGGAACAACCTTCCAAGTGTTGCGTTCCTCTAATGCCTTCAGTTCTCTATCCATGGCTTCACGCCATTTCTCCCTGTGTTCCCCCCCCAGAGCCTGCTGAACCGTTGCAGGCTCCTTAGGAAACGAGCTGCGTGTGTTCCCGTGGACTGCGGTGACGAGGCCGAGGATTTGCAGCCCAGTCTGTGAGTATCGAGGGAGTTCTGGATCCTCGGGATAAGCTGCTTCGTCTCCCGTTTCTGGGTCGGGCATGAAATTTGGCCCTACCCTTTCTGCTTCGTTGGTGTTGACTGTCACAGGTGTTACGTAACCATCGTCGGCGAAACGGTAGAAGATTTCGGCGTTGTTACTGTCACGAGGATTATCCTCATCCATGGGCACGTCGACGGAGCAGTATGGGAGAGGTCCGGCTTCTTCTGAGGCGTTGTCGACGTTCTGTTCATCCCAGTCTGCTTCGTCCGCTGCTGACGCGAAGGCTCGGTCACCACGAAAACCACTGGTGAGGTCCCGATTCTCGTGCAAGTTGGCGAGGTACGTCTGAAGGGTGAGTCTTTCGTAGAAGATCACGTCACGTGCTGCTACTGTTTCCTTTGTGTGGACGTCGAAGATTTTCCATGCGTTGTAATTTTTCTCGATGCCGAGGTGTAGTCCCCACTGTGCCCGTTGCGAAAATCTTCCCGCTCGTGCTTCTGGGGGTCTGTACTGTACCATGCACCCGAAAACTCGTAACATTTTCGTGCTGCCCTGCTTCCCTGTCCACAGCAGATGCGGTGATGCGTTGTTCGGGAGTGACGACGACGACAACAAGTTGTGTAGCATGACAGCGTGGTCCATTGCTGCTGGCCACTGGTGGTTGGGTAGCCGCATGCCACGTAATAGTTTGCGCATGCTGTTCTGCAGGGTCCTGTTCAGTCGTTCTGCAACACCTTGCTGCTGATGTGCGTAAGGAAGGGAGAGGAGTTGCTTGATCCCCCTTTCCGCCAAGAACTGCTTGAAGCGGTGAGAGGTGTACTCGCCACCTCCGTCTGACTGGAATTTTTTCAGTTGTGTTCCAGACTCTCTCTCTGCTATCGGTAGCCAGGCGGCGAATGCTGCGAGCGCCATGTCGCGGCTGGGTAGGTTGCGATGCCAGACGTATCGAGTGGCGGCGTCGATGAAGGTGATGGTGTAGTTGTAGTTGACTTGTCCTGGCTCGCGATTGTAGAGGATGTCGCTGTAGACTTTTTCGAGTGGTGCGTACGCTGTAGCGCTCGGGTTGTGATGTGAAGCAAACGGTCGATGAGGTAAGTCAGCTTCGGGACATATAAGGCAAGTCCCTCGTGCCTTCTGGAGTTCTCTGCCATCGGGTAGAAGTAGAGAATCTTTGTCAAGGACTCCTGCTCTTATCGTGTTATTCAAAACCGTGTTACTTGGATGTCCTGTTCGTGCGTGCCAGATCTCTTCAGAGGCACGGTGTCCAGGTGAACGCTGATATGCGTCGGAGTTGGAGTAAAAGCTGGCGACGAGGTTGGCGCTTCGGTGGACTTCACGTTGAGTCGGATTCAGCTGTTTCGCGGGTGTTGGTGGTGCTTCGTCGACTGTGACTGGTGTCGTTGTTCCTGCTGCTGCTGATGTTGTTGCTGCTGCCGATGTTGTTACTGCT